CTATGGCTCCAGCCCATGGATTTTGATACTTGATTTTATTATTTCCAGTTTTATTGAGCTTAATAGATATGTAACATCATTTAAGGTATATAACATAATTATAACATAATTATTTATGCATATGGTACAAAATGATTATCACAAGAAGTTTGATGCTCATTGTTTCATAGTTACATCCCTTTATTTTTTTGGAAATAAGAACTTTCGTGGGGGCTGGAGAGCTACTACAGCACTAGCCTTGCACACAACCAATCCAGGTTCAGTTCCCAGCATCCCATATGGTTCCCTGAGCACTTCCAGGAGTCATTCCTGAGTGCAGAGCTAGAAGAAACACCTGAGCATCACCAGATATGTCCCTAAAACGAAGGATGGGGTGAGAACTTTAGTGGCCAGAGAAAGTACAACCGGGAAGGCTTTGCTTTGCTTGTGACCAGCACAAGTTCCATCGTTGACACTCCAGATGGTTCCCCAAGCCTTGCCAGGAGTGATGCCTGAGCACAGCCAGAAGTAAACTCTGAGCACAGTTGGGTGTGGCCCCAAAGCTCAAAACCTAAAAACAAAACAAAACAGGAACTTTAAATGCTGGGGCTGGAGAGAGTGCACGGCAGGGAAGGCACTTGCCTTGCAAGCTGCTGACCTGGGTTCAGTCCTCAGCACCCCATGTGGTCTCCCAAGCTCCATCAGAAGTGATCCCTTAGTGCAGAGTCAGGAGTAATCCCTGAGTACAGCTGCATGTGGCCCCAACAACAAAAAACAAAAATCAAAGCAAAGAAAAACTTTGACTGATCAAAGGTAACAGAACTGGGGAATTGGTTTACAGAACTGCACTGGTTTACAGAACTGCACCGTGGTATGGGGCAGGGGAGATGAAGGGTCTTTGGGGCATTGGTGGAGGGAAGTAGGCACTCTCCTGGGCACTCTGGTGTTAGAATAATAGAATGGTGTATGTACGGAATGTACAGTTCTACCATACACTATCATGATTCACGAGGGTGTAAATCATAGTGTCTCAAAATAAATAAAATTTTTTTCTTTTTTTCTTTTTGGGTCACACCTGGCCATGCACAAGGGTTAGTCCTGGCTCTGCATTCAGGAGTTACGCCTGGTGGTGCTCAGGGGACCATATGGGATGCTGGGAGTCAAACCCAGGTCTCCGCGTGCAAGGCAAATGCCCTACCCACTGTGCTATCCCTCCAGCCCAAAATAAATAAAATTTTTAACAGGACTTTTAAGAGTTTTGCTCTTAGCTCTCGAGTGTGTGTGTGTGTGTGTGTGTGTGTGTGTGTAGTATTTTTATACATACCGTGATGTATGTTACAGTGCTAGAACTTTATCTTATTACTGTTTCTCCTCTTCGGCTATCTCCACTCCTCGCTCTCTGCCTGCTTCCAGCATTCACATACCTGCTCTCTGATTTTGTGTCTATGTGTTCAGTTTTTTTCCAGATTCCACGTATAAGTGACATTATAAAAAATTGGGTTTTTTTTCCTGACTTCTCATAGCAGAGTGCCCCTGAAATCCCGCCACGTTGTTAATAAATAGCAAGATTTCCCTTGGTACAGCTGAATAATAATTATTCACTCACTTCTTGATAGACACTTCGGTCTTCAAGGGCCCTGCAGCCTTCAGATGTCCTTTTTGGCTTTGTTTATGGACCACACCTAGCTGTACTCAGGACTGACACCTGGCTCTGTCCTCATGGGTGACTCGGGGATGCTCAGGAGACCTTCCATGGTGCTGGGGATGGAATTTGGCATCCTGACTGCCGTCCTGCCTGACTGGCCCCAACTGTCTTAACTGTTCTTCGAGAGCTTTCCTGCCTTTTGACAGTGCTTGCTCTAGGTCGTCTGTCCCAGTGCTGCCGCAGCCACTTACACAATCCTTCACGGAACTTTGGATCCCATTTTAGAAAATGGCATCACAAGCAAGATTTGGGAGCTGGGCATGTTCATGCCACGGGGAGTAGAGGCGGTCAGAGCTTCCAGCCCTCAGTAGGCAGAATCACAGATGAAGGGGTGTATGTACATGTATGTATGTGGGAGGTGTGTGCGAATGCATGTGTGCACGCTTATGTACATATTCAGAGTTCACTGTAACTCCAGTTCCAATCTGCAGGGCCCATTCTAATCCTGTTTCCCTTTTTTCATTCCTGTCTGTTCTCTTACAATGCGAACTTGGATCTATTCTCTTGTGTTTGATGAATCCTCACATGTACCGAAGATCTCTAGTGCTGCCTCCACACCCTGCCACAGGGCCTCTCCACACCCTGCCATGGGGTACCTGCCTCACCCTGTCACGGGGGGCCCTCCTTACTATGCCACGGGGGTTCCTCCTCACCCTGCCACAGGGGGCCCTCCTCACCCTACGATGGGGTACCCACCTCACCCTGCTGCGGGGGGCCCTCCTCACTGTGCTGTGCTCTCTGCCTGCCCCTGCACTCAGTCTCCCAACATTCGCAGGCTGAGCTTTGTGTGTGGTTGGCTGGTCTCATTGTGTGTGTCTGTGTGAGTGTGAGTAGTGAGTGTGTGTGTGAGTGTGAGTGTCTGAGGTCTGTTTATATCTATGTATGAGTGTGTGTGTGTGTGTGTGTGTGTGTGTGTATCTTTGTGTATGTGCCTGAGTGTGTTTATGTATATATGAGTGTATGTATCTGTGTGTGTCTATATGTCTGTGCATGTGTGTGTGTGTGTGTGTGTGTGTGTGTGTGTGTTCTTCCCTGGACCCTCTAGGATTGTGAATTTCACTGACCTCCGTGTGCCTCCTTTTTGAACTCTTTTAGTTTGAGGTTTCATGTAACCTCTCATTCTGGGAAGTTTCCAGAACTTTATTTCTGCAAAGATTTCTCCTCCCCCCCCATATATTTTATATAAACTAGACATGCATAATTGATTTCTCTTATTTCTCTATGGAATACTTCTTAATTTATCTTTTCTGTATTTATCTCCCAATATCTTCATGGTAATGCCTTCAACCTGGTGTTTTAACCTGCAGTTTATTTGACGGTGTCCCCTCTGTACTTCCATCTATTCATTTATTAAGTTTCATTCAGTGGCTACATTTTTTCATACCCAATTTTCTGTTTGTTTTGTTTTTTGCTTTACGAGACATTTTCTTCCTAACATTCTCCCTTGCCAAATTAGTTCATTTAAAACTTTTCTTTGTTACCTGCTGTACGCCCTAAGCCTTGGGGATGTTAGTCCCCAGGCCCTGGGATCAGAGGCTCGCATATGCCTCTCCCACTGGGTCTTGAGAGTGAAGGTTGGGAAGGGGCCCACGGGGACATCGCTGCACGGGAAACACCTTCTCTGGTTTTGCTATTTTCAAGGTGTTTCCTGACAGCCCCCCTGTTGTACAGAGGTTGAAAAGAAGGGGTTGGAATGGACCACCCACACATTCAGCATGCAGTGACCGCTTGGCCCACCCTCAGATTATGGGGCCCGCAGCCTCTGCAGGTTCTATACTCACTCATCCGTTTCCCTCCCCCGCAACTATAATTGCTTGTTCCAGACCGTGTGGAGAAAAAAATGTTTGTCAAGATAACGGACTGCCCCTGGCTCCCAGCTCTGCTTCTTCTTCCCAGCCCTTGTCTACTTCTGTCACTATTAACTGGGAGCAGGTTTCTCTGTATTGTCACTAGAATTTCTGTCTACATGTAAACACAGATGATGTTTTTTTTTCTGTTACTGTCCAGCAACTTGTTGTTTTTAAAATGACTTATTAGGATTGGAGAGGATAGTGCAGGGTTAAGGCACTTACCTTGTGTTGTCCTGAGTACTACTGGACCCCCAAACATGAGAGCTGGGGTAGCCCCCGAGCACCACCTCCTCCCCCCGAGAAAAAGGAAATTAAAAAAAAATGCTTAACACATTTGAGGGTCAGAGAGATGGTACAGTGGGTAGGGTGCTTGTCTTGCTTGCAGCCTACCCGGATTTGATCTCTGGCAACCCTTATGTTCCTCCAGGCACCACCAAGAATGATCCCTGAGTGTAGAGCCAAAAGTAGGCACTAAGCATTGCTGGCTCTGCCCCCCAAAAAGAAGTTTATTATGTTTAATTGTATATATAGTTTTGATTCAATAAAATATAGCTTTAAAATTCATCTTTATTAATTTATCTCTCGCTATTCTGAGATTAGTGATAGCACAGCGGTAGGGCGTTTGCCTTGCACGCAGCCAACATGGCTGACCCGAGTTCGATTCCTCCGCCCCTCTCGGAGAGCCGGGCAAGCTACCGAGAGTATCTCACTCACACGGCAGAGCCTGGCAAGCTACCCATGATGTATTCGATATGCCAAACACAGTAACAACAAAGTCTCCAATGGAGACGTTACTGGGTCCGCTCGAGCAAATCGATGAACAACGGGAGGACAGTGACAGTATTCGGAGATACCCGGTTCTTTGAAATGGTTTTCTATTTAAGTATTATGTTACTGAAATTAATGCCCTTTGGATAAAGTGTTTTTCATACATTAGTCATTTTCTAGAATGAATGTGCAGACTGCATTGAATAGATAAATAGTTGAAAGGGTTAACATTTTGCAGGGCAGGTATTTGGGCCACACTGGACAATGCTCAGAGCTTGCTTCTGGCTCTGTGGTAGGAGTCACTCCTTACAGTGCTTGGGGGGACCAGGTGTTATAACTGGTATCAAATCGGGAGTTGATTATATTCGTAAAAATAAAAAATAAAAAACAACTCCTGTTAACTCTGTCTTGGCCCAGATCAGCACTTTGATACTTGATTTGTATGTAGCAGGTATTTAAACAATAGCTTTGGATGGAAGGGTATTATAGTAAATCATGTCCAATATCATAACCAGTTTTCATTCCCCGTGAGGGGTGAGAAGGTCTATTTCCCTACATCATCTTATGCTTATTTTGATGATTTAATTATATTTAGAAGACTTCTTTATCTTTCTTGAAAAGAAATGTCATCTGGTGATATAACAAGGTCTGTTTCTCTCTTTTACCCCTTGGATACATGGACATATGTTTTCTTACAGGACTGAATTTGCACTTAAAGAAATCATGTCCTCTGGAGGTGCTGAAGATGACATCCCCCAGGGAGAGAGGAAAACTGTGACAGATTTCTGTTATCTTCTGGATAAATCTAAGCAGCTGTTCAATGGGCTAAGGTTAGTGGACTCTTTTATTTTTAATTTTATTTTAATGAATCACTGTGTGATACAGTTGCAGACTTACAAACTTTTGTGATTATGTTTCAGTCGTACAATGTTTGAGTACCCATCCCTCCACTAGTGCCCATTCTCCACCACCAATGTTCCCAGTATCTTGCCCCCAACCCCCACTCCTTCCCACCCCCTGCCCCTGAAGCAGTCACATTCCCTCTTACTCGCTCTCTCTCCTTTTGGGTGTTATGGTTTGTAATGTAGGTACCAAGCGGCTGTCATTTTTGGTCCATAGTCTACTTCCAGCACGCATCTCCATGAACTCTTGAGATCATGAACCTTTTCCTGAGTCTGTCTTGTGCCCCAATTGACTATTACATAGTAAGTCTGAAAATTTTGGCTGGACTGTTACACACCAGCAGTAATCAGACTTGCTTCCTTTGACAGTTGTTTCTTTATTCTCAGATGAGGAAAATCATAGGAAGGGTCAATGAAGTCCGGTTTTGCTCCAGCTGTTAAGAGCTGGTTTGTGAAATGGTCTTGTGTGTGTGTGGCGGCACATCACACCTGATTGCCTTCAGTTTTCATGCACTGGGGGTGGCAGTTGCCAAGGTCACAGAGCTCTGTGCATGTGTCACCGTGGGCCTCGTTCCCGTCCCAGTCTCGGGCTCTTGTTGGTCTCTTTCCTTCTTTTTTCCTTTTCTTTAGATAAAATACCTTCTGCGGGCAAGCGAGGTAGCTCGAAGGTAGCTCTGAACGAGTGCTTTGCAAGCCTCGTGTGGTTCCCCGAGCACTGTGGGGGAGCTGCTATTGAGCACCCTGTGAGGAATAGCCCCCGAGCACTAGTACGTTGGGGCTCCCAAACCGAAGGAAATAAAAACGTGAAAGTCTTAGGATATTCAGGCTCACTTCAGACCTAAAGTCTCATTAACTTGATTCCAACCACCAATAAATGCGTGCCCTCGGTAAAAACATAAAAAACAAGCGGTGTTTGGGGGCTGCTGTGTTCTGTTTGTTCGCAGTGTCTCTGTTGAGTCCTTGGCTGCCCCATGACAGACAGCAAGTGTTCTGTCTGCGAGCGTGTCCCTGACCCTATTTGGAAATGTTATGTATGAGTAAGTGATTGGAAAGATAGTGAATTATTTTTGGTGTACAGTTTATTTCTGGGTAAGTATGCCATCTTTTCTTTTTCTTTATTTCCCCTTTTGGCTTCTTTGTTTTTTGTTGTTGTTGGTTTTTTTTTTTTTTTGGACCACACTGACAGAGCTCAGGGTTTACTCTTGGCTCTGGGGTGCTGGGATCGAACCCTGGTTGGCCGTGTGCAGTGCAAGTGCCTTACCTGCTGTGCTCTCTCTCTCTCTCTCTAGCCCCACTTCTGTTGTGATAGCGACACCTTCCCAGGTTAGACCTGTGTTGGCAGAATGTACTTCCATCCTTTTTTCCGTCCTGTGGCTTTTTTCTGTCTGGGTGCCAGGTATCAAACTTGGGGCCTCACCTGTGTGAGGTGTGTGCTCACTGACCGAGCCGCATCTCTCAGTGATCCCTCTATTAAAGACCATGCAAGCCACAAAATGACTTCTTCATGGCTGTCTGTGTAAAGCGGTGCCTCTCAGCCACTCTTACCCTCAAACTTATTTGCTTTATTCCTTAAAACTCGGCACTCTCTATGTGGGCATATTTATAGCTTTGAGACCTTCCTGTATTCAAATGAAATGGCCCTCCAGCCTGGCCCCTCTTGGTCCTTGATTGTCCAGTACCTGGGTGGGCCTCCTGCACGTCCAGACACTTCATAGCCTTCTACTAAATGAAGGCTTTCTCCAACCACTCAGAATTCTCTTTCCTCTTTTGTGCTACAGAAGAAATCTGTAGCTGGGTGTTCCCTGGGTGCTCAGCACTATGTCTCAGGCACCCACACTGAGTACAGACCAGCTGCATGCAGGTCCAAAAATTAAGAAGGCATTTCAAAGTTTGCATGGAAATCCCTACTCTAACTTCTGGCTCAGGGTCTTCTGGTTTTCTTCTGAGTCTGAAGCGTAAGGAGGAGTGTATTTTCTGGGCTGGTTTGCTTAAATGGACATGCTTTGTTCAGTAGTACATCTACTGCCGGCCCATCTTAGAGTTCCCATAGTGTGCAGGATTAGAGTTGGACACTGCTCTCATGTTCCCTGCCCTGGAAATGCTGTTCTTTCAGCATGGTATATGTACTTGGTACATTCCCTATTTTTAGAGAAGAATCAGAAGGAGATATTTTGTTGTAGTTACCTCACCTCTCATTGCATTGGTTTGAATAGAAAATAGAATCCTGATGCTTATATAAAAGAAGCAGTGGGGGCGCTGGAGCAATAGCAGAGCAGGTAGGGCATTTGCCTTGCACACGGCCGACCTGGGTTCGACTCCCAGCATCCCCCGAGCACCACCAGGAATAATTCCTGAGTGCAGAGCAGGAGTAACCCCCATGCATCACCAGGTGTGACCCAAAAAGAAAAAAAAAAGGCAGCAGCAGCAGCCACAAGGGCCAGAGAGATAGGACCGCAGGTAAGGCTTCTGCCTTGCATGCAGTCAACTTAAGTTCAATCCCTGGCACCCATATGGTCCCCTGAGCACTGCCAGGTGTGATCCCTGAGCACAGAGCCAGGAATAAGCCCTGAACACTGCCAAGTGTGCCCTGCCTATCCCCACTCCACCACCACCCCCCCAAAAAAAAAGGAAAGAGAAGAAGCATATTGATCATGGTAATGAGAGAAGTGGAGTGACGAGAGCTCCCGTGGGAACAGGGCCAGCACATCCCACTAGGCCTTTCTCTCCCTCATTTCTTTCACTGTTAGCGTGTCCCGTGAGTAGGTGTCCTCTGTGTTTTGCCTTTCTGTCCACTCACGGGGCATCACACTTCTCACTGCAGCATGTGTGCTAGCAGCACAGCCAGCCTGTCATAATCAGTGCCTCTTTCACACACAGCGCGTCCATGTGGCACAGGCCCCGTGGTAGAGAACAGAACAGAACACACAGTCCTGCAGCAGCTCCTTCCTCGCTCTTTAACTCTTCCCGAGCAGAATGAAAAACTGCATATCAGTGCACCAAAGGCTTCAGATTTTCTCTGAAATGCCTCATTTGGGTGTACTGCACCCTCTTGTTCTGGACGGGAGGTGGTCTCTCTGCATTAAGCTGCTCCTCCGAGTGGTCAGAGCCTTTCCCCGTTTCCTAGCCAGCCATCTCAATGGGTGTATTTCTTGACTGAAAATGCCTTCTTAGACTATGTGCATAATAAATAAGCTCTTCTTTCCATTCACTGTGTAAGAAAATATAGTCCAGAGAATGAGAACAGGATCAAGTGAATGGTGTTCCACTTATAACAGCTCTTGCATGTAGTTAGAGTAGTAATGAAGTGAGAATAATGTTAGAAATAGCTCTGAATTCTGTCAGAAAATTATCAAAAGCCTGGTGCTTGCAGGGTTCTAGTTACCATGGTGACTAAGACTGTGGAAGCCAAATGGAATACTTGGTGGGATTACGTAAGGTGGCCTCTGGAGACACGGATTGGAGGCACACAGCTGTGCCCACCGCCCGACTCAACTTTTGGTGCTTTGGAACATCAGAGGCCTCCGAGGCACTAATTATTTGTCTCCATAGGAGAAAATACACAAAGCCAAGTGCATGTTGGAGGCCATGCATGTATATGGGCACCAAAAGTGAGGTGGGTGGCCTAAGATAAAACTAACCACAAAAATCACTTTTGGACTGGGGCAATGGTTCAGCAGGCTAGAGCTCATGACTGGCTGGGCCCCTGAGCACCATGGGGCCCGAGCAGTCTCCTGGGCTCAGCATTGACGGAGTATCGGACTGTCACATTCCAGGAGTTGGCCCCACGCCTCCTGAGCGTTCTTGGGACTCACCCCCTTCCCCAAATAGGAAAAAAAAAAAGAAAAGAAGAAATTGCTGTATTAAATCTGCTCCAGATACTGAAATCGGAAAAAAAATACTTTGCAGTGTTTCCATTGAGATCCTCTATTTAATGTTCTTTTTCCTGAGCAGGAAAGGATAACCAAGAAATATAGCGTCTCCACCCCCCTCTCCTGTTCCCTCTACCTTCTCCCTCTCCCTCCTGCCTCTCTTCTGCCTCATCTTCCTTTTTTTTTTTTTTTTTCGCTTTTTTGGTCACACCTGGTGATGCTCAGGGGTATACTCCTGGCTCTGCACTCAGGAATCATTCCTGGCGGTTCTCAGGGGATCATATGGGATGCTGGGAATCGAACCTGGGTCGGCCGCGTGCAAGGCAAACGCCCTACCCGCTGTGCTATTGCTCCAGCCCGCCCCTCTTCCTTCTTAAAATAAATTAAAAAAAAAAAAAAGCTAATATTTTTCTGCCGGCAACCTGGAACCGGAAGGGGATAGATTATTTAGAGACTGTCAGTACTCCAAACCCAGCGGACAGCTTGGGGGACCATGCTTGTATGTGAGGTCCCATGTCCCCAGGCTGCTTGCCCTTGTCCCCGGCATGCTGAAGAAACTCATGGCAGAGAGACATTGATTAACAAAAATTTATAATGCTTTTAAGAGTTTTTCACAATACTTGACTTCAGCATGCAGTCGTAATATACACCTTTCCCATCCTTTGTCTGTACTCTGAAGAACGCAGTATATTTTATACTGATGTGTGTGTAGTTCACATATGTTTCCTGTGCTTTTTAATCACTTAACTTCCCGTTAGTCATCGATTTGCTCGAGCGGGCGCCAGTAACGTCTCCATTTGTCCCTGTCGCGTGCTAGTGTAGCCCAATGGCATCTGTTCGCTCCGGGAACATGAAGGGCCTCAAACCGATCATTGATGATCCTGACGAAGAAGTCTGACCATCTGGAAGGTGGGTGGCCACGTGGTCTTTTGACATCCCGTGGAATCCAGTCCGTAACAGCTCTAGTCCAGCGGTCGTCTTTAAATCTCATTACGTGACCAGCCCATCTGATTTTCGACACCTTGGCATATGAGACAGCGTCCCTGATTCTTGATCGTC